GAATCTTTCTAAGAGTAGAATGTGAACGTTTTAAAACAATAACTGAGAAAATGACATGAAGGCTGTGTTGACCAGTTTGATGGAAGTATTTCGGATTGCATGTGAAAACCCCACACTGTACCCCAGAAGTGCATTAATGTACATAGTTATCATTCAATAAAAAAAATAAAAAAGAAAGAAATGGAGGAAGAGGGAGAGAGGAGTTGGAGTGGGGTTAAAAAGGCTCAGAAGGGATTATAGATGAATGCTCACCTCATTATTAAAGGGATGAATTTGGGGGAGGCTTGGAGGGGTCCCCTGTTTCCCTTCACCTTGTTGGAACAAGAGTCCAACATCTAGTTGGGGTTTGATGGGGTGTGTATCAGCCACCAACCCCTGAGGGAGCTTCTCCCATTCTGGGTGTTGGTACCAAAGTGAGAGGCTAAGGACCAAAAATGAGAGGTTATTCTGAGACATGAATGAGAGAAGGCAGAGTCCAGGTTCCTGTGTGGGCAACATGGCCTTTAGTCAGCACGTGGGATAAGGCAGGTGGGAATATGAGTCCCAAGGGGTAGGGATTGGCACATTCATTCTTTCCTGGGTGGGATGATTCTATTTGGGTGGGTCCCTATATTCAGCCCTATCAACTAGAAAGGTTCATTTTTAGGAGATCATGTCCCTCAGAGGAGAAAAAACTTAAGTCAAGAGGGACCAATATCAAACAATTATAGGTAAATAAAAATGATGGACAAGGCTAGAATCTAATAATGAGCTCACTATATATAAACATAATTTTCTCTCTCTAGCTTCTCATTTTCATTAGAGACAAATCATAGGAAGACCAACTTATTTGAAAAATGAATTTTTAGTCTCCTGTCTGGTCTGATTATTTGCATAAAGTTCAGTACGATTAATCATTTGCCTTGTCTTGTTAATTTTTTCCCAAAATTAACATTTTTATTAAATCAAGTTAAAAAAAGTTCACTGTAGAAAAGTCAACAAGGGTTTTAACAAAAGCAAAATATAGCTTTTTATACAATATATGTATATATTAGCAGCAAACAACTCCTGAGATTTTCTTTTATGTTCTTTTAGTTCTTTTGAAGAAAGCATAAACAATATATATTAGTACAGAACATTAGCTAATCCATTCTTCATCCTTTGCCTGTGATTTAGGACTTCTACAAAATACTTTATGATTCTCATTAGTGAATACTAAGAACAAACCCAGGTTTGACTAAGAGAAGCAAAATAGAGTGGCTGGTAGAATCTGTCTCCTACATCATCACCCATTACCTTTTGGGAATAACAAATGAGCACCGTATCACTAGGTAATCGTGTGTGTGTAAACTCAGATTTTCAGGTGTAATAGCAGCCAACTAGATCAGTTAGCATGTGACTGCCACTTTTTAAAACCTTTGTGATATACAAAATTTTAATCAAAACAGATGACTACTTCAACCCCCTATCGCCTGTCCATTTTAAAAATCCTTAATAGAAATCTGTATATAACCTGGCCAACTGTATACATGTAGGTATGTATATACACACACAAAGGCGTATGTATATACATACATGTTTAGCTTTGAATGAATTTCTAAACAGAGATGAAGCCAAACCTCTCATTTAAGTATATCTGTAGAATACAGTATCACCAACTGAAAAGTTCCTAGTATAAAGTTTCAACTCAGCTAATCAGAAATACTGGCTACTGAACATTCTGAGGCTAAGCTGTTATTCAGCTTAGTATATTCCAAGCTTACAAATTAAACAAGACAGCAATCACCAATTGTCCATCAAAGAAATAAATTTTTTCTCTTGGTATTTTCTTCTACTAGGAGAAAGAAACTATCTTTACAATAAGCTTTCACTTTGTAAAGAGAGTTAAAATTATTACAGAAATTTCACTAGTCTTTAAAAATACTAAATGTTATATAAATACAATTTTCTTATAGTTGAATTCTTTAGCTAGAATCTGTATTTAAAAAATCTCCTTTGGATTGTTCCATTTAGCACTTCAAGTTTCTATTCTGTGACGCTGATAACTGGCTCAGATTTGGTAGGTTTGTATCAATCACATATTTCAGGATTTGCTACTGTGTGTTATCTGTGTACCAATAAAGTAAATGGGAAGAAAAGCACCAAATTTCAAAAGCAACATAATAATGAAAAATTCAAGAATGTATAAAAAAAAGAAAGTACAACAGGGATTCCCTTTTCACAATTACATTAGTGAAATATAATCCTTTTTTTTTTTTTGCTTTTGAAGCTAATGTCATAAACTTAAATTTTTTAATTTATCAAGAGGATGAAGTTTTTAGATGGCCCACCTTTATTTTTCTATCAAAAACTAAAACAAGAGACTGAATTACTTTTATTAATATACACATCAAGTTACTGAAACAGTGACTTCATGTCGTTATCCCCTTAAAGATGGCACTTGCAGGTAACCAAGATGGTGTACAGCCTTCAGATGTTTACTTGAAAAGATTCTTCAACAGCAGTTTGATACTGTGTTTCCTCATCTAGCTGAAAACTCACAAATTCTCCACAATCAAACTTGTATCTTTGATTCAAATGACTAACAAAATTTCTAGTTATCTAGCTAGGATCTCCCCAAGGAAGAGACACACAAACAGGACATGTCACAGGGACCATCTGAAATAGGTGATTACTGTTACAGTGATCCAGTAAACGCTGTCTGGTAAAATTTGATTCTTGACACAGGGACTCTTAAAGGTGGGATGCCCAGAAGAACTTGTATTCTCTTGATAAGTTTCCGTGTTATCAGATGTGGATGTTTCACTTCTATTACTGTTCCCCACTGAATTTTGAGAGATCTGAAAGTTTGGAATGATAGAAGAAACAGCATATTCATCCTGATACTTCTTACAAGATTTGTAATGATGTCTCATGCGATAAAATTTAATCTGTTTTGCACAGCATCTACAGCTACAAGAAAAACTCTTCATGATATTTTCAAGGTCTAAGGCCCGTTCAGGACACGCTCTTTCTCTTCTAGTCACATTTCCACGACACAGGGGACAACGTACTCCGCGTTCTCTCATTGCAGTCAGGAAACATTTTCTACAGAAAACGTGCTGACAGGCCGCGGTCCGCACCGGCGTCTTGAGCACCTCCTGACAGACTGGGCAGTAGAAATCATCCTCGGTGGAGGAAGTGGCCGCAGAGAGCTCCTGGGCCAGGTGCGGGGCGGGGGGACAAGGCCATGGCGACCGCAGGTGCGATGGCGGCAGCAGGTGACGGTGGCGCACGGGTCTCGACTCCCTGCGCGAACCAAAAGGGGGAGGTGAACGGCGTCCGGAAGCGGCTCGTGCCAGAAGCCATTTGCCTTGTCTTTTCTGGAATTTGTTTTTAAAGGAATTTCATGTTTTTTAAAGGTCTCTCTAGCCAAGCCAAGGATTTAACTGCCTGTAGGTAGCTGTATGAATTGGGTAAGTCTGTCTTTTTTTGTGGCTTCAGGCTTCTGGACCTGTTGAAAAGTGACATTCTTCTTCTTCTTTTTTTTTTTTGGTTTTTGAGACAGAATCTCACTATGTCGCCCTTGGTAGAGTGCCATGGTGTCACAGCTCATATCAACTTCCAACTCTTGGGCTTAAGTGATTGTCTTGCCTCAGCCTCCCAGGTAGCTGGGACTACAGGTGTCTGCTACAACGTCTGGCTAGAAAAGTGACATTCTTTACTTACCTCAAATCAGCAAACCTTATAGATGAAGTGTCAGGTCAGTTTCTCTCCCATCCACCCTAGCCCCAGGGACTCTTTATTGGCCGTATAAAGTTAGCCTAATTTCTCAAAGCAATCTAGGCATACTTGAAAATTCGTCATTCATGTGGTGGCACCTGTGGCTCAGTGAGTAGGGTGCTGGCCCCATATACTGAGGGTGGCAGGTTTGAAACTGAACCCAGCAAGAGAGAGGCAAGAGAATTGCCTAAGCCCAAGGGCTGGAGGTTGCTGTGAGCTGTGATGCCACAGCACTCTACTGACGGCAACAAAGTTAGACTCTGTCTCTAAAAAAAAAACATGTCATTCAAGTCAAAGCCTTGATAAAATAATCAGCAACTCTAGTTCTGTTCTGTTTTGAAATAAAAACAGATTCTTATTGAACTTATGCAAATAACTATATTGCCATAAAATAAGAGTATGTGTAATAGTTTCCAAATTCTGGAGAAATCAAGTAGAGAAAAAATAAATGTTTCAAATTATTCACAAAATATACTTTGCCAAGGACAGGGCATGGTGGCTCATACCTATAATCCTAGCAACACTGGGAGGCTGAGGTGGGTGGATTGCTTGAGCTCAGGAGTTAGAGACCAGCCTAAGCAAGAGCCAGATCCTATCTCTAAAAATAGCCAGGCATTGTGGTGGGCACCTGTAGTCCCCACTACTTGTGAGGCTGAGGCAGGAGAATCAATCACTTGAGCCCAAAAGTTTGAGGTTGCTGTGTGCTATGACACCATGGCACTATGCCAAGGGTGACACAGTGAGACTCTGTTTCAAAAATATATCTATATACTTTACCAATTTGTTGTAAGATATAAATAGTTCAAAAGGGGGGGGGGTTTCTTGTCTTCCGGAAAACAAAATATAAAAGAATTATTATTTTTTATTTGGAGACAGAACCTCAAGCTATTGCCCTGGGTAGAGTGCTATGGTGTCACAGCTCACAGCAACCTCAAACTCTTGGGCTTTAAGTGATTCTCTAGTTTCAGCCTCCCGAGTAGCTGGGGGTACAGGTGCCCACCACAATGCCTGGCTACTTTTTGGTTGTAGTTGTCATTGTTATTGGGCAGGCTAGGGCTGGATTCGAACCTACCAGCTCTGGTGTATGTGGCTGGCGTCCTAGCTGCTGAGCTACAGGTGCCAAGCCTAAACTAAAACTTTTCTGAGTTTTTTAAACCATGCTATTTCTTATCTAAGGCCGCTCACAGTGCAGTTAGCTGCCTCCGCCATGGTCCTTTCTGCCTCGCTACGACACACCAATGTCAAAAGTTTCTCACAATACGATGTAATTTTTGGTATCCTCAAAAGCCAAAATGATCAGGTAACACAACCCAAAAGGGGGTAGTTTTAGAACTAATAGAAATCTGTTTATGATCTTTTAGACTCCATTAGGAAGACAGAAGACCCACAAAAGAGGGGTGAGTGACACCCCTCTAAGTTTTTTCCTTAGTTCCTGAAGGAGCCTGAGCTATGAGATGCAGCAGATTGTAGCTGGGCCAAACTATTGACATTTTTGCTTTTGAACTATTTAAAGATACCCTTCTAATAGAAGCCAATAAGCCATCTAAAGTTATAACTTTTTTTTTCTGAGACAGAGTCCCTCTTTGTGGCCTCTGGTAGAGAGCCATTGCATCATAGCACACAGCAGCCTCAAACTGCTAGGCTCAAGTGATCTTCTTGCCTCAGCCTCTCAAGTAGCTGGGACCACAGGCATCTGCCACAATGCCAGGCTATTTTTTTTTTGGCCAAGGCTGGGTTTGAACCCACCACCTTTGGCATATAGGGATGGCGCCCTACCCTTTTGAGCCACAGGCACCGCCTGAGCCAGGCTATTTTTAGAGACAAGGGTCTTGCTCTTGCTCAGGCTGGTCTCCTGAGTTCAGGCAATCCACCTGCCTTGGCCTTCCAGAGTGCTAGGATCACAGGAGTGAGCCACCTCGCCCAGCCCCTAAGGTTATAACTTAATTAAGGAAGGAGGTGGAAAACAGTTTTTATGAGATATAGAAAAGGTACAAATAGGTCAAAGAAAGGAAAGTCTTGCTAGCCATCGACCAGCTGTAACCCACATTTGTCACTGTCTGTATTTTTCCCCCTTTTATTTATTTATTTATTGAGTCTCACTTTGTGGCCCTCAGTAGAGTGCTGTAGTGTCATAGCTCACAGCAACCTCCAACTCTTGGGCTTAAACGAGTCTCTTGCCTCACCCTCCCAAGTAGCTAGGACTACAGGCGCCCACCACAATACCTGGCTTTTTTATTGTAGAGATGGGTCTCACTCTGGCTGGTCTCAAACCTCTGAGCTCAGGGTAATCCACCTGCCTCAGCCCCCCAGAGTGCTAGGATTACAGGCGTGAGCCACCACACCTGCCCTGGCTGTATTTTTTTTTAGGGTCTCATTTTATCAGCTGACGATTTACAAATGAAAGTCCAAAGCCTCATGTTTCTGTCACAGGTATAAGAATACATGAAATTGGCTCGGCGCCTGTGGCTCAAGTGGCTAAGGCGCCAGCCACATACACCTAAGGTGGCAGGTTTGAATCCAGCCTGGGCCCACCAAACAACAATGACGGCTGCAACCAAAAAATAGCTGGAAACTGGGTATTATGGCGGGCACCTGTGGTCCCAGTTACTTGGGAGGCTGAGGCAGGAGACTTGCTTGAGCCCAGGAGTTGGAGGTTGCTATGAGCTGTGATACCACAGCACTCTACCCAGGGGGACAGCTTGAGGCTCTGTCTCCAAAAAAAAAGAATACATGAAATTAAAGGTTGCGGCTCAGTGCCTGTTGCTCAAGTGGTTAAGGCACCAGCCACATACACCTAAGGTGGTGGGTTTGAATCCAGTCCGGGCCCACCAAACAACAATGATGGCTGCAACTAAAAAATAGCCAGGCGTTGTGGTGGGTGCCTGTGTCCCAGCTACTTGGGGGGCTGAGGCAGGAGACTCGCTTGAGCCCAGGAGTTGGAGGTTGCTGTTAGCTTTGATGCCACGGCACTCTGCCCAGGGGGATAGCTTGAGGCTCTGTCTCAAAAAAAAAGAAAAAAGAAATTAAAGGTTGCTGGGGGCACCCGTGGCTCAGTGAGTAGGGCACTGACCCCATATACCGAGGGTGGTAGGTTTGAACCCAGTTGGATATTCTGGCGGGTGCCTGTAGTCTCAGCCAGTTCCAGAGGCTGAGGCAAGAGAATCACCTAAGCCCAAGAGTTGGAGGTTGCTGTGAACTCTGACACCACGGCACTCTACCAAACTAAAAAAAAAGGGGGGGTGGTGCCTTGGGCTCAAAGGAGTAAGGCCCTGGCCCCATATGCTGGAGGTGGCAGGTTCAAACCCAGCCCCCGCCAAAAAAAAACCTTCAAAAACAGAAGGTTGCTCATGGAACAATATTAAAAGTTACATAAAATCAAACCAGACTTGTTCCCTGATGCAGAACTGAACCCAGGCTGTTAGGGCAAAAGCAGAGAGAGAATTAACCATTAGACTATAAGGTAAATCGGCTTCTGTTGTCATTCCCAAAAGGGCAGCAGACAGAAGAGCGTTATCTTTTCGGTTAGATTTTGCCTTTTAATTTTGTCAAGTGAATTCCTAAAGCTAGTCATAACACAATTATGTGTTCCTGTTTTAGTCCAATTCCTCTACTAATACAAAAAGGCAATTGTTTAGAATAAGCCATCTTTAAAATATATCTTTCAATTTAAATGATCCATCTGTTGGTCATCAATTTTCAGTAATTAAATTATTCTAAAGTGACTTAACCTGATAGATTCTTCAGGAAATAAATCATTCCAAAGATCCCCTCATTCTCTCAGAAACAGAATAAGGGAGAGATGACAGAGGCCCTTATGGACAGGACTTCTATGACAAGCAACACAAAGACAGAGAATGAGGGGAAGGTTGTTTCTGAAGGATCAAAAAATAGCTGTATGAGGTCTGTCCAAAAAGTATCCAGCCATGTGATGTGAAAAGTAGAGACATTTATTGAAGAAGACACTAGTTACAAGAAACATCTACACAGGACAATGACGCCTCAGTTCCCTTCAAAGTCGGCCCCTTGGGACATCACAGGGTGCTCCCAGCATCTCTTCCCCTTGTTCAAAACACTGCAAAATCCTCTGTTGGAGTTGCCATCAGATGCCTGGTTGTATTTTCCTGAATCTCATCGATGACCTGAAATCTCTTTCCTTCCAAGGGTGATTTTAGTTTTGGGAAAAGCCAGAAGTCACAGGGCACCAAATCTGGGCTGTTGGGGAGTTGAGTCACCTGAGTGATTTGATGTTTTGCAAAAACACCTGTGCAGGAGATGTGATGCCTTGGCTGCGCGTCGTAGTGGTGACGCCGCCACCCACTAGTTGCCCATTGTGACCGCCCTTGGGTTGTGGCCTCTCTGAACCCACCGAGAACACTGAGGTAGCGCTCCTTACTGTATGGCCTGGAGGAGCACAGTCAGGATGGACTACACTTCCCAGTCAAAGCCACAGTTAACGTGGTCTCCATCTTGCTGTGACTTTGCTGCACCTGCTTCTGACCTGCAGAACCAGTGACTTCCATTGGGGTGATGAGGACCCTGGTTCTGGTAGCCCACAATTCATCTCCACTTACGACCTTCTTGAGGAAATCTGGTTCATTGGTAGCGGATGGAAGCAGGTTGTTAGCAAATGCAGTGCAATGTTTTTGGGCTCTGGTAGTCTGAGGAACTCTTCTTGCTGTGACGTGTTTCATGCCAAGATCCTGTGTCAGATTTTCTGCCACAGTAGTTTTCAGAATCCCCAGATCAGCTTCTAGTTCTCATGCTGCCTGGCACTCATCTTTATGGATTGTAGCCTGTACAAAGTCAACAGTCATAGGTATTCTGCTTGTTCAGGTTTTCCAGAACGTGGGTCACTTTTACCTCTGAAGCATCTGAGCCACACTTCTAATCATCCTGCACTCATTGTGTTGTCCCCCAAAGCCTTCTGAATCTCCTGCACAGTTCCTGTTAGGTTCCTTCACACCTAATGCTACGTTTGATGCACATCTGTTGCTGTGCTCACTCTGTCCTTTTGAGTGCAACAGCCGAACAGGACGCCTACTCATTCAAAGGTGTCCAGCACCCCACTGCCTAGCACAGTAAAGGCGGCATTGTTCACGTGTGCGGGTTCCAGTCTACTCGCCTTGGCCTCCAGGTCACATCCAAGTCTCACAAGCCATTCTCATTATGTTAATGATGACTGAGTTGGCAGGGCACAGTGAGTCTCACGCCTGTAATCCGAGGAAAGTGGATCGCCTGAGTTCAGAAGTTCAAGACCAGCCTGAGTAAGAGTGAGACCTCCCTCTCTAAAAATAGCCAGGTATTGTGGGGGGTGCCTGTAATCCTAGCTAATCTGGAGGCTGAGGCAAGAGAATCACTTGAGCCCAAGAGTTGGAGGTTGCTGTGAGTTATGACGCCACAACACTCTACTAAGTGTGATAAAGTGAGATTCTGTCTCAAAAAAATTAACTAATTAAATTAAACTTTTGATTGTATGGGACTCTCAGTTAATCATTTTTGGTTTGGGTAAAAGCAAGACTTGTCTGTTCCCTACAGTTGTGAAAAGGTATCTGTGGAGATGCCTGCAGAGAGCTTATAAGCAGCCATCTCAAAATATGTGAAGAAAATGTTTTGTGGGAGGTAGGAGGCTATTTTTGTTACCGCAAGTTCAGCACTTGTCCCTGAGGCTGCCTCAGAAGAATGAGGACATGTGGTCTGAGGAAAAGAAAAGAGAAATGTATTAGTTTTCTGGCAAATAACGAAGATGGTGGACTCTCATCTTAAAGTACCACTATCCTCTCTAAGAAGTACACAGAGCTTTTACAGGGAGTTTTCAACTTTCGGCTACTGCAGTGAGGACAGTCTCCTCGCCTCTGCCCAGTCCCACTGGGCTGTATCCTGTGGTCCACAGAACAAAGCACATTCCCTTTCCCCTCCTCTGGTAACAGGCAGAGACAGGCCTGAATTCCCTAGGTGGGGGTACAAGGGAGAGCGTGTAATGCAGTTTGCCCTTTTTTGGGCCCTATTCTGTCACCACTGTCATTTTACTGTCCCATGTCCATGGGAAGAGGGGTAACATTGTCATTCAGCTATTTCCTGCTGAACTAGGGCAATGTTTTATTTTATTTTTTAAATTTTTATTTATCTATTTTTTTGAGACAGATTCTCACTCTGTCGCCCTGGGTATCTGCATCATAGCTCACAGCAACGTTAAACTCTTGGGCTTGAGCAATTCTCTTGTCTCAGCTTCCCAAGTAGCTGGAGTGAGCCTCTATACCCAGCCAGTTTTTCTATTTTTAGTAGAGACAGGGTTTCATTCTTGCTCAGGCTGGTCTCAAACTGTTGAGCTCAAGCAATCCACCCTCCTTGGCCTCCCAGAGGGCTAGAATTACAGATGTGAGCCACTGTGCCTGGTCATGGGGTGATGTTTTAGATGGAAAGTTTATACTTCTCTTTTTTTTTAGACAGTTTCACTATGTCACCCTCGGTAGAGTGCTGTGGTGTCACAGCTCATAGCAACTTCAAACTCTTGGGCTTAAGCAATTCTCTTGCCTCAGCCTCCCAAGGAGCTGGGACTACAGGCGCCCACCACAATGCCTGGGTATTTTTTGGTTGTAGTTGCCCTTGTTGTTTGGCAGGCCCAGGCTGGATTTGAACCTGCCAGCTCCAGTGTATATGGCTGGCGCCCTAGTCACTGAGCTACAGTCACCAAGCTGCCTAGTTATTTTTGTTATTGTTGTTGTTGTTGCAGTTGTCATTGTTGCTTTAGCTGGCCTGGGCTGGGTTTGAACCTGCCAGCCTTGGTGTATGTGGCCGGCACCCACTGAGCTACAGGTGCTGCAGAAAAGTATATACTTAGATGCAAAGATTTGACAGCAGATTTACAAAAATAAAGAATGCATCAAATTAGGAGGAGAAAAAAGGCATGAGAAACATCTTCAACTGTGAGGGTTGACAAGGAGAAACGGAGGATAACTGATAAGAGAGATTTTGCCCTGCATGGTATCTGAGACATCAGCAGGACTGCGAGTCCTCAGTGTTGCCTTGTACGTGAGGTCTGATCTAGGATTGGGTAAGAAAGAAACATGGGGCCTCTGAACACAGGGCTCAGTCTCACCCTGTAGGTGACTGGAGAGACCAGTTTCTGCAAATTCAGTATTGGAAGGTAAATTAGAAGCAGGACAGGACAAACCCAGCAGTGAGACACATCTGCAGAAAGGAGAGCCTCACTAGTGGGGACTGTGTCTCTCCATCTACAGACAGAACAAATGCCCGCCCACCAAAAAAATCATTTAAAATTCAGCATTTTTGTTGTTTTTCCTTTTTTGTAAATAGATACATTAGTGGCCCATCCACTGGGGGCTTAGGTCCTCTTTCTCCATAGTAGAGGTTCTCAACCTGTGGGTGATAACCCACAGGAACTGTATGTATTACAGGGCACGGCATTAGGAAGTTTGAGAACCACTGCTCCACAGGACACCTCTTTACTCTTGTGTGATGGGCCCCAGGTTTCACTCCTGACAATGTCAATGGGGTCTGAGTTGTTAGAGCACATGACAGGGTTCCTTCCACTTCTCTGTCAGGGCTTGTTCAGGTCCCTGTAGTTCCCAGGCTTTAAGCAACATTCAGTCTCCTGGTTTAAAGGGGTGAAGGGTGTCTCTAACCAGGGCAAGGATCTGAACGAGGCAAACTCACGCATAGTGGCTAGCATCTGACCTGTTTATTTGACCTGTTGCTGTTTTCTTTACTCCTGGTTATATCACCACACTTAGCTTAGGCTGCTGGGAAGGGTCTTCCATAAACTATTTCATAGCGGCTTTACTTAAGCCTCCTTTCAGACGCTACCCTTTTCTGGAGGAGGGAAAGCAGCAGTGCCCTGTCCCAATTTAGATGATTTTCACTCAATTTCCATTCTTGATGTAGAGCTTTGCTTACTGAGTTACCTCCAAAATAAAGGAATGTCCATTATCACTCTGGATGGAGGTTGGGAGTCTTCCAAATGAGTCCCTTTGAAGGATTCTGGTAACTTCAGACATTCTCTATTCAGGTAAGATTAAAAAAATAAAAACAAAAACTCTACTAACACACATTTAGGCATTGAGTGAAATCAATTTGCCAGTGATCAAAAGGGTGGGACCCCACACGCTAAGTCCCTGGGCAGCAAGTCACCTTTCTGCCTTTGGATCGTTTCAAGCAATAAACCGTATATTGCAAATGAGGTCCCACCAAGTGGATGTTAAGGCATCAGGCCCACTATGTGTGCATTTATTAGGTACCTCATGGGAGGCTGAACCAAGGCTGTGGGTGGGAGAATGAGTCTGTGAGAATTCTGTCTCCACATAGCTATGTCAGCCCAAGCATCAGAGCCCTAGTCTTTAGTTTTAAAGGGGACTTATGTTGCTCTAAACCTCACCAGGTGTCCAGGCCTGGAGACACGGAGCATTCTCAGCAGCCTCCTTAGAAGTTCTGCCAGCAGCCTGATTCTTTTTACATCATTAGTCTACCTTGTTGGTGACCAGAACAGTGCATGAGCCACCTGCTTGGGCTCAGCCATGGCCTGTATCAGGGCCATTCATTATTTCACAGGTATACTTTATATCCTCTTTCTGCCCTCAGGAGCCCCCTTTCCTTCCAAATGGCACCAGGAGCATGCACAATCATAAAAGCATATTTAGAGTCTGTATACGTGTTTACATTTTTCCTCTGGATAACTGAAGAGCTCACATCAAAGCAATCAGCTCAGTTTATTGGGCTGAAGCCCCAGCCAGCAGTGCCGTTATTTCTAGCCCTACACTGCTGTGACCACAGCATATCCATCCCTACATTTTTCATTGTCCATAAAGCTGCTCCTGTCTGTGCAAAGATCCCAGTCTGGCTCCGGCATCAGCTAACCTGACAGATCCTTCCTGCTAACATAGACACCCCCAGAACCTCAGCAGACATGGCCTGAGGCTCCTTCTTTAACTGGTGACAGGGTGGCATGAATGACAGTAGACACAGTCTGTAATAACAACTCACCAGTAGCTGCTCCTGCCGGCAGGCAAGGTGGCCACCCTCTCGCAGTATTGTCCGGAGGCTCTGACAAGTCCCGCATTGGCCATGGGGTGTTTCCAGCGTCTGTACTAAGACTCCAAGGCTCATTCCTCTCATTCCTTGTTTTTCCTGAACAAATATTTAAAATTCTTTCTGAAAGTCAGGCAACACCAACGTGGGGGCAGTCTGAAGGCTCTGCTTTAGTTTCTTCTAAAGGGATTTTGGCCGTCTGTGGTCCAGGTCGGGAGCTGCACATCTGCTCCTTCATGGGCCCTGTGCAAGGCTAGGTGGTGATTTTCAACTGGTGTGCAGTCCTCAGAGGATCTTAGATGTGTCACGAAAATTTTTAAAGGTCAGTAATTAAATTATTTCAAAAGCAGTCCAAAGCACAGTAAGTATATTCTTTTTTTTACTCTTTTTTGGGATCAACATAATTTAAGTGTGCTACTGAAATTTAACATAGGTTCAAGGATGCAGTGAGATAAAAATGGTTGAAAAACACTGATCCAGACAGGGTGTGGTGGCTCATGCCTGTAATCCCAGCACTCTGGGAGGCGAAGGCAGGTGGATCGCTTGAGCTCAGAAGTTGGAGACCAGCCTGAGCAAGAGCAAGACCCTGTCTGTACTAAAGATAGAAACATTATGCTCAGCGCCCATAGCACAGTGGTTATGGTGCCAGCCATATACACTGAGGTTGGTGGATTTGAATCCAGCCTGGGGCCACCTAAAACAACAATGACAATTACAACAACAACAAAATAGCTGGGCATTGTGGCAGGCTCCTGTAGTCCCAGCTACTTGGGAGACTGAGGCAAGAGAATCATTTAAGCTCAAGAATTGGAGGTTGCTGTAAGCTGTGACGCCACCACACTCTACCCCGGGCGATAGCTTCAGGCTCTGTCTCAAAAAAAAAAAAAAGAAAGAAAGAAAGAAAAAGAAAAACTTACCAGGTGTGGTGGCGCGGGCCTGTTTTCTCAGCTATTAGGGAAACTGAGGCAAGAGACTTGCTCAAGCCCCAGAGTTTGAGGTTGCTGTGAGCTATGACACTACAGTCCCCTACCCAGGATGACAGAGTAAGACTATCTAAATAAATAAATACTTTTTTTTCCTGCACATCCCCGGTCCCATCAGCCTGTGTGGCCTCATTCATGTTTAGGTAGGTTTCTTCTTGCAAATTCTGCAATAATGTTCAAGTCAGCTAAGGCCCAAACTTTAATTTATCTCCTCTGCAGTGGCAGCTGCCTGTGTGTCCCACCAGGCTCTGGTTTTCATCCAGGTGGAGCTTGGCGGTGCCCTCAGAGGTGAGATTCTGCCACTTCTGGGACAGTTCGAGGTGCCCCCACCACGTGCCCAAGTCTGTGGATTTTGTGGCAGAGGCAGTGGCGGGAGCAGCTCCAGCTCTGGGGCAGCGGTGGTGAGTTCCTCAGCTGCAACTTGACGAAGGCTGCCTCGCCCCTGCCCGCCCTCCCTCGCCCACCTGGAGCAAGGCTTATGCTGGGACAGGGGCTGCAGCCAAGGAAAAGGACCTGGGCTGTATCTGCCCATGCAGGTTGGTGGTGGCAGCACTCTGTGCCAATTAAAGGGCCTGCTAATTGGGTCCCCACTGGGATACCTGATTGGAGCCACTAGGGAGGCATGGAGCCTGAGCCCCCTCCTTCCTCATCTGAGTCCTGGACTTGAAGAACCATTTACTCTCCTGGGTGCTTTTTGTTACCTAGGGCCCTTTGTCATTTTGCGCAGTGCTCTTTCCAATGTCCTTCCTTTTACGAAAGTACACTGAACATATTTCAACATGGGGTGACTTTGTCCACCCCTCCTTTTGATTGTCTCAAAGGACCCTTAGTTGGTGGTACAGCTAACAGAACACACACAGAGTTCAGTCTCTCTTCTCCCCAGCTTTTATAAGCCCTAAAGGTGATATCAGCAGGCTGCGAGGGGCTAGGTCTCTTCCCCAGGCTGCGGCTTCCTCCACTCATGGGCAACACTCTGCCCTGTAAGTCGTGTTAATCATGCACATGCACATGTTTCTAAGGGCCTTGGATCTACATCTGTACATTTCCAACATGCCTAATAGATGCATTCCAAAAATTCAAAGCGGGCTCGGCACCTGTGGCTCAAGTGGCTAAGGCGCCAGCCACATACACCTAAGGTGGAGGGTTCGAATCCAGCCCGGACCCGCCAAACAACAATGATGGCTGCAACCAAAAAATAGCCAGGCATTGTGGCGGGCACCTGTGGTCCCAGCTACTTGGGAGGTGGAAGCAGGAGACTCGCTTGAGCCCAGGAGTTGGAGGTTGCTGTGAGCTATGCTGCCACAGCACTCTACCCAGGGGGACGGCTTGAAGGCTCTGTCTCAAAAATAAAATAAAATAAGATTCAAAGTGATCTGCATTAGTTTTTGTTGTAATTGCTGGACCTCATTCTGTTCTAGGCACCCCTTCCACAGACTTACCAGACTACACTGTCAGCAATGGTTTATTCTCACATTGTCAGAGAGCATTAGGACCTCAATTTGCAAGTCCCATCATACTCTGCCAGCTGTCCTGGTCCATTCAAGCCCCCTATCAGATATGCCATAATAAAAATTGCCCTCTCTTGGCTACAGGTGCCCTGTGGCCAAATTGAGTTCTGTGCTGAGTCTTGGAAGGAGACACCATTCCCACTCCCGAGTCATAACCCCGTGGGTGTGGGAGTGAAGAATGAGTTCCAGTCAACACAGTATCTCTGAAAGCGCCAAGATGGCAGTGGTGGCAGGTGGAAGCAGTTGCTCTGGGCCTGGCTCTGCACAAGACACTTCCCTGGCTGGCTCTGGGGCTCTGTGGTGAGGGAGCTGCTTGTATTGGTGCACTCTTTGACCTCCACTCAGGGGTTACAGTGGCTAGAGCTGCAGGGGACCCAGAAGCATAACTTTGAGTGTAATACAGCCCAGGGTGCCTTCCCTGATGGCAGGAGGAGCAGGTTTGAGATCCAGTCTGGTTAATCCCTCAGCTTTTTAGCCTCTTTATTATGCAATTTCATGAAAGACTGTACATCTGGGATCTTGTTCCATTTGCCTAAACTTTATTTATTTATTTATTTATTTATTTTTAAGACAGGTGCCTTAAGCTGCTGCCCTGGGTAGAGTGCTGTGGCATCACAGCTCACAGCAACCTCCAACTCCTGAGCTCAAGCGAGTCTCCTGTCTCTGCCTCCCTAGTAGCTGGGACCACAGGTGCCCGCCACAACGCCTGGCTATTTTTTGGTTGCAGCCATCATTGTTGTTTGGTGGACTCGGGCTGGATTCGAACCTGCCACCTTGGGTGTATGTGGTTGGCGCCTTAGCCACTTGAGCCACAGGCACCAAACCATTTGCCTAAACTTAAACAAAATAGTTCCAGCTGTAAGATAGTATAATAGTGTAAGCAGCCACTTCTCACACTCCAGCACATACATTGTATTATAGTAACACCTTTCTCTTTTAGACACAGACACCTTGAAGTGGGCCATTCAGCCAGGATTCTCCCCAAGGGGCTTTCAGAAGGAATAGAAACAGCAGTCTCTAGTGACAATCAACAATAGTGTACTCAACTTGAGGAACAGACCACACAGGGAATTCTCAACACAAATCATTCTAGTGCCAAGGCCTAGCCAAATGAATGAGAACCAAATTCTCAAAGGAGAACCAACATCTCTCCAACCAAAGGAGAATGATTTCCAGGCCAGGTGCAGTAGCTCACACCTGTAATCCCAGCTCTCTGGGAGGCTGAGGCAGGTGGACTGCTTGAGCTCAGGAGTTGGAGACCAACCTGAGCCAGAGTGAAAGCCCAGCTCTACTAAAAATAGAAAAATTAACCAGGCTTGGGGTGGTCGCCTATAGTCCCAGCTATTGGAGAGGCTGAGGCAAGAAGATTGCTCAAGCCCAAGAGTTTGAGGTTGCTGTGAGTTGTCATGCCACCTCACCCTATCCAGGGCAACAGAGTGATACTCTGTCAAAAAAAAAAAAAAAAAAAAAAAGAAAGAAAGAAAGAAAGAAAAAGAAGAGAAAAAAAAGAGAGTGAATGAATTCCCCAGGTTTCCTATGTTGAAATAAAACTCCCAAACAACAAACACAGGCAACGGAGGGAATTCCAAATGCAAACAATTTCCAGTGCCATGGGCTCACCAAGCAAGTGGGAGCTGTACAAATGGGAACCAACATCTCATAATCCAAAGGGGCTGGATCTCCCAGGTTCCCTAGTTCTGCTCAACCATGACTTCTACCCCAAAATGGCACCATAAAAAAGTTCCTGGCCATGGGGCTGGAAGGTTCAAAAATCCTCCTCAAATAAGTGAAATCAGGGGTCTCAGTGAATGCACAGAGTGAGAATAAAATGGAGTCAGTCAGGTGATGGCAGACATGACCCAGCTGGTCTGGTCAGGGTAGGTCTCACCTGACCTTCACCCTCTGTCTTCCATTCTTACTGTTTTGTAAATTTAGCTCCCACCCTGTAGATGCCTATCTTGAGTAATTTAAGTGGATTGATTTGGAAATTAACTTTTGAATGCAATGTTGTAATAGGTCACTGAGTTAAGCTGATTATTATTTGGAATAGGGGTTGTTGTGGTCTTTGCTTGGAACTTTTTTTTTTTTT